AAAACCAATACAAATTGTATGTTCTGGTAGGGACCGTTTGGGACTTTAGAAACATTGGAAGTATCTGTTCAGCCGGTACTGTGCTAATCTCAAGCTTCTACAATGGAAAAGAAGAAAGAGGATTTAGTTGGTCGGATTTTGATTCCATTGGGCGTCTAGGATGATCATTGAAAGCTGAAGTTCTCACTTCTTTTTCTGACTCCCCTGGCTTGGCATTTTGAAAACGAAATAGGAAGAATGAATAAAGAAAAGTAATTCTCTGTCCTAAACAAAGAAGAAAAGATAAAATGAAAGGAGAAGAAAGCAAAAAGAAATGATTGCGCCTGGGAATTATTGTGCACCCCAGGGCCGGTATTTGATGCTTTCAAGTAATCCAAAGAATGGTATACAGTTCTCTTTGCCAATGTGGCGTCCTATAATATTCCTTAAACTGTCTCGGAGGCCTAATCATGCTGGTCATCAATACGAGATTATTAAGTGTCTCTATTTGAACGAAAGCTCTTCGAGCCTTGACATGGCGTAATAGCCCCGACTATGACTATCAAAGACAATGATCTTCCGCTCTCTTTGTTGGTTCAGATAACATAGTACCACGACGCTGCGCTTTAATCTTCAATGACATACCGATGCATAAGGGAGGCCCTTGAATTGCACCATCTTGTTTCTCTATTCCGCATGCTATTCTGGATCGATATAGAACCGCGTTTGCTTTCGATAGCAGAAAGAAGCGAAGTCTTCTTAGCTACATGGTGTTAAACTCCCCCATACTTCCCACCATTTCTTCCCAGTTTTTCCCCTCATTGAACGCCCGGCTCTCGCTCAACTAGTACCCTCCACGACGAATCCTTTGGGCCTTGGTCCGTCATTTTCAACTCTCACTAAGACTTACTCAGAGGAGTACTTGCACAAAGTGAATATGGCAGAAGAACAGAGGTAAGTCGTGCGAAACGCTCAGATGAGCTTGGGGCAAAATTTAACTTGAGTATGTCAAATCCAAAAGGAGGCTCGAAGCCCTAGCTAGGAGTTTGGAGGAACGTGAAAGGTATGTGAATATGAATAGTCGACTTGAGAATGTAGGGTTGAGGTCTGACAAACACATTAGGGCCATTGAAGATGAACGAAGAGCCCTTGAACATGAACGAAGGGCCAATGAAGATGAACGAAGAGCCCTTGAAGCGGAAAGAACAGCACTTGAAGAGAAAGCGAGAGCAGATGAAGAAAAGAGCAGGCATCGCGACGAGTTACTCCGAGATACGACGTTCATCGAATTGATTCGACAATGCCATGAGTCTCTTTCGAAGTCCATGACACTCGGAACCAAGTCTAAATGTACGAGAGGGCCACCACATGAGGCCACTGGCAAGGTCTGCCCGGATCGATTCGAGCACTGGTCAGAGTTTTCGCGCAAGCAGGATGATATATATAGTGCTGTTTGCAAATTTCTCGAGCCAACTGACAATGATGGAAAGCGCCTTTTTGATTCGATAGATTCCATCGAAGTCTCTGGGAAACATATAAAAAAGAATGAGATAACGAGTGAAAAGGATATAGAACTCTATGAGCGCTTTGCGGTGGAAAACCATGTTGTCAGCATCATTGCTGAGCTCAGCAAAATCCCTGCTGCCCTGAATATTTCCACTTGAACTTTGAGGGTATCAAATACATGAACCACCTTTCCAATCTCAGATCATTCATGAAGGTTCTATGTAAGGAGAGAGGAGTTACACTGCCGATCACTTCCAGACCTGACTCAGTCTGCCTATGGTACGATGAGGAGGGAGAAAGGCTAGTCTTGACAGGGGAATATAAACCGCCCCACAAGTTACCCATGGATACCCTTCGCGCAGGCTTGAGGACGCATAACTTCTACGAGGAAATTGTTGGGAGCCATACTATCCTAACGGAAGAAACAGAAAGGATGAAATATAAGGCAGCCCGCCTGGCAGGCTCGGCGATAGTTCAGGAATATCATACAATGATATTGCTAGGGCTGGAGTACGGGTATGTGACCACTGGTTTGGGGATAGTTCTCCTGCGGGTGCCTTACGACAACCCACAAACTCTGCAATTCCACCTTCGCGAGCCCCATATGGAGGTCGATCAAGGGGGTGACAAGTGGTTCTTACGGCCTTTAACTTCCATTGCACGAGTGCTATGTTTAACACTTATGGGCTTTGGCTCGCAGCCCCGTGGCGTTGAATGGTCCGCTAAGACAAAGCCCACGCTGGAAACCTGGATCACAAGTTTTGACTTGACGTATATCAGTCAAAACAAAGGGGAACAAGCACCAAACGATCCTTCAGACAAAACATTCCTCCCCCCCCAGAAAGAGCAAAGTTGCGGCATCCGCAGGAAGAGGCAAAACTACCCGTTCACGAGCTCGCTGCAGCGAAAACCACATGAAATCCAAGCGAGAGGATACAGCAGACCCTGATCCCGACTCAGCCCCAGGACAAAAACGCCGCTTGATGGATACCACATCTTCTGCATTACCTGCCACTGAGAGACGCTCAAAGCGTCCCAAATATGCAGGAGGTGGATCCAAGAGTCGCCAGCGTCAGAGCCTACCATTCTGCACGCAAAATTGCCTTCGTGGCTTAAAAAGACGTGGCAAACTGGACAAAAATGGTCCAAACTTCCAGCTTCACCAGGAGAATGGGTCAACCCATCACCGTACAAACACCCGTGGGCTGGCCAAGTTGATCAAGGCTGCAATAGATGAGTGTCTTGACCGTGCAGAACCGATGGGAGGCTGTGGCCTGTCTGGTGCACCGTTTAAACTGACCTGCGTCAGGTATGGGTATACCATTGTTGGCAAAGGTACCACCTGCTACCTTTGGCCCCAGTTGAATGTGAAGCCGATATTTACCGAATGCTTGAGCCTGTACAGGGATCCGCAGTCCCAGTATATATCGGAAAGATTGACTTGCGCAGGATGTACTTTCTTCTCGGGGCGGGGCCTATCAGACACATGCTACTCATGGGATGGGGTGGAGAGAGTATTGACGAGGTCGAGGTTGACAGCCATATTTTACGACAAAGTGTAACTGAGTCCGCTAAAGATATCCAGTCTCTTGGCGTTCAACACCAAGACCTTGGATCAGGCAATATTCTCTGGAACTCGGAGCTGAGTCGGGCCATGATCATTGACTTTCATATGTGCACATTCGCCATGGAATTGGTCAAAAAGAAGCCAACGTGGCTCACTGACGAGAACTCCCAAATGGAATTGATTGAGAATGATCAGGAGCGCCGGCATTGTGAACACCATGGCGTATGCCTTCATCCCCCAGATGGAAAATGTCCAAACGTATTGTTGGACATATATTAATACCACCTCTACCAGCAGCATATGGATCTCTTCTACTAGAGTTCACGTGGAAGAGAATTAGGATTATCCGAATACCTGGTTATATGTCACTACGCGGAATTGTCGGGTGTTGGCTTGCTTTGACTCCCTCTTTTAATGAGTATAACAACATGAATGAACGGCTTCCATTGTCGTACTGCGGAAGTCCAGTTTTGGCTTCACAACATGTCTTGTTACTTTGAGACAATCGTATTCTTTTTTTTCCCTCCTCCTGGGTGAATATAAAATAGCTGTTGGATATACAATCAGAATGCTTTTCCTATCCTCATTGTTCGAAGAAAAAGGGGGAGTGTAACCATATCCACCCTAGTCATTTCTCGTGCCTCAACATCAGGCCCCATCACCTGCCTCTTCCTCTGTTACCAACGTCGAAATTTAGCGAGTGCCTAATACCGTCCCAACTTAGCCTAGTCCATAAGAATCCATCCTACTCTTGTCAACAATCCCCGGGAAGCCTCTCCTCCCCGGCTTTTCTCCGGGCGATTCAGACCCGCGGGGTACCGCGCAAATAGTACTGATTGGCCCGAGCCAGAAACCAACTGGAGCCCTCCGCATTCGGCTCAACCCGCCTATGCGGAGGAATGAGCCAATGGACACTAACAAACAACCGGTACTAGGGATATTAGGGGTCTGGGCGCGAAAGTGTGGTTGGTAGAAATGAGACTTGATGACGAGGCCGTAACTCGGGATTACTCTTTTTTGCTTACTGCTTTTTTCTTTCCTTTTTTTTTCTCCAAAGAGAAGTGGTGGGGGAATATAGCCTAAGTGGATTGGTCTGATTAAGTACTACACTGCATTATTTCCTTGGAATTACGGCGAAAGAGGGGGTGATGAGAGTAAGTGAGTAGCCAATCGTGCATTGTTTGCTCCTTCATGGCTGGCTAGCTTCCAGCCGTTCCGGATAGCCGGGCCTTTCTGTCTGTTTTTGCCTCCCCTTTGGTATTAGGTTCATCCATCCCCATTTGATATGATACTGTTTGCTCCACCACATGCGTTTGGCTTACGCCGAGGGAGTAGTCAGGGCCACATTGTCCGCATGGACCGCCTTCTCGGGAATCTTCTCGGTAGAATCAATCATCTCGCCCTGAAGCAGTGCCGTCAAGCCGATCTCGCGATCAATTTGTTGTCGGAGCGCCTCGTCTTCGGCGGCCATGCCCTCAGAGCCGAATAGTTCGTCCATCTCTTCCAGTGTGCGCCCCTTGGTTTCGGGAACGAAGAACCACACGTAGACCGCTCCGACTACGGTGATGCAGCCGAAGAAGATGAAGGTGCCGTAGGTGGAAGCGGCGATGAAGGGGGAGGTGGCTAGACCGACACCGAAGTTGTTGAGCTGGGAGTAGTCAGAATTAGTGTTTCTATGAAAGAAGTGGTACTGGATCACTTACCCAGTTGCTGCTTCCGCCGATACTGACGCCCTTGGCACGCATGCTGAGCGGGAAAACTTCGGATACCACGATCCATGCGCACGGACCTGTTTGGAATAGTAAGCATCACTGTTGATGAGAGCGGGTCATTGATCGGAGATCACGTACCCCATGAGTAGGCGAAGTTAATGATGAAGATCCACACGAACGCGACTGTCGCCCATCCTGCGCTCTTGTGCTCTCCAAATGTCCCCTCGTAGGAACCAATGAGACCCGCGCAGATGAAATGGCACGCTGCCATACCAATCGCACCGGCAAGCAGGATCTTCTTACGACCGATATTGTCGACCCAGAGAACAGCCGGGATCGTGAAGACAAACTCGAAGATACCCGCAACACCAGTAGCCAAGAGGGATGTTGTATTTCCTCCCAATTCAAGGCCTTCGAAGACTTGAGGCGCGTAGTAGTTAATGGCATTGATTCCGTTCCATTGTTGGAAAAGCATGATCAAGCACTAGATACGTCAGTAAATAAGATTTTTGAAGTTGGGGGTAGATCCAAGCATACCGCAACGGTGGTCCGCTTGAACAGCGACGGGTTTGTGATGAGCGAAAGGTAGTCGTGGAACCCAATCATGAAGTTACTCTTGAACGATCCATCCTGATATTGAGGGTACTTCTTCTTAGCAGTTTCCTCCTCAAACATCTTGAGCGACTTGATCTCCAAGTACTCGATGCGAACCAGAATGTCGTCGGTGGGGGCATCGCGAAGTCGGGCAAGAGTCTGCAGACATTCCTCGTCCCGTCCCTGGTTCATCAGATGACGAGGCGACTGAGGCATGAACAAAACCATTCCCGCAGCGAGGATCAGGGCCGGTAGGACTTGAATGCAAACGGGGATCTCCCAGGCCGCAATGGACTGGCCATCACCCGTCCCGCCAATGTAGTTGGTGCCGTAGCCAATCTGTCATAGTTAGCTTTTGACTCCACAAGATATAGATAGTATAACCTACCCAGAAGCTGACCATGATACCGAAGGTAATGGACAGCTGCTGCACGGCGACTAGAGAGCCACGAATTTCGGGGGGAGCCTAAATCGTCAACACTCGGAAACATGTGCCGGAAAGGCGCTGCGACGTACCAGCTCTGCGTTATACAGAGGAACAATCATACTCAGATTACCCACTCCCAGACCAGTAACAAACCGACCGGCAAAAACATAGCCTGCGTTTTTCGTACAAGCCTGGACAATCACACCGACGCAGAAGATGACCACAGCGACAACGACAGTCTGACGACGACCCATGGCATCGGCGAGATAACCGTTCAATAGTGTACCGACCCACGCTCCCAATTCCAGAATGGATGTAAGCATACCCTGCTTAAGACCGGTTCGCGCTGCATATCCGTCGGTCTTTACTTGTTAGTGTTGGTGTGAGACGAGGTGAAGAGATGGCATACCGCTTTGATGAAGGAGTTCATGGTAAGAATTTCGGAGAACATTCCCTGGTTGTCTTTCAAGCCCGTTAGCCAGGTCTTGTTGTCAATAAGCCAGATCAAACCTACATCCATAGACGAAACCACCCAGCGACGCGAAAAGCGCAATCGCAAAGGTCTTCTTGCTGCTCAGGAGCCCACGCCATCCGACGCGATTGCCGGCGAGCTCAGCACGCTTGCCGGACACGGCCTCAGCGCCCGCACCCATACCCATATTGAAGGATGGTATGAACAGTCACGGTACAAACCCTGCAGACGACCGATGATATGAGGAGAGAACAGTGTAATTCACAAGATATGTGAGTGACAGAAAGTAAGAGAACGAAGACCAACGATCGTCATCTCGCGGGGAGCATGCGACATAAAAACAACCGGACCAGGACGCAACGCCCGTCATTCGTCCCGTATAGCTATAGCTGCAGCATCATCCTTTCCTGACTGCTTTTGTTTTTTTGTTTAGGCTATTCCAATTTGAAACTAGATCAATGTCGCTACTGGCCGACATCGATGTCATGCAATTTCACGAAGTGTGTCCCATAGCCCCATGATTGGGTATTCAATTTAGCCAGACTTCATCCACCGGTGCCAGGCTAGCTGGGTCTGGTAAGGCGTGCTACAATCCTTTTACCCCAAGGATGCGATTCATCCCCGTGGGGCCAGTCGGATGCCATGGGGGCTATGATTAGGCATGGTTTGTCATCGGCGCGCAGGTTCGGCACTGTGGAGGTCGGATTGGATTATATCCGCCGGTTGGATACAAGCTTCGTGGCGGGCGGCCTGGCAATGGCTACGCCTGGCGGTGCTTGGCAAGCGCTAGCCGGGTGACACGGGTGAATGATGACATCAAGTACGTAGGTTGGGACAGAAAGGATATCGTGAAATGGCATGAAAGCAGCCGGTGGATTTTGCGGGGATGGGAGAAAAGAGGGGAACCATGGTAAGGGCGAGGGGGCACGACCACCACTGTCAATGGAAAAAGCGGAGGTAGAATATGGGGGAATGTACAGGACGGATCTGGAGAGCAGCAGTGAGACCAGACCATTCTCTGACAGGCAATGATGATCAGATTTAGCCGGATTTCCCCTACAACCCCCAAACTTGCAGCCATCAGGCCGGCACAACAGCCGGAAGTCAGCCCATGGTTAGGACAACTCTTTACCTCACTAGCTGGTCATGAAAACACCCATCGAGCGTTAGGCTCTGTTCTTAGACCACTGAGATGATGTCTGATCACCGGTTTGCCACGAGTTGAGCTTCTGCGACACGTGGAATGTCACCTCGCTACCACAGCCCATCCAGCGTCCAACGCTAAAAGCCCCTTGCGTCTTACACTCTGCGCTGGCGTATTCCGGCCACCCAACCGATCAGCGCCTGAATCCGCTCGGTCGCACTTGCGGAATGTACTGCCATGATTTCCGCTTCGCAGTCTGCTGCTTGCTCGAGCCGGCATCCTTCGCGCGACAGATAGCTCGGGCCACCGTCGAGAGAATCGGGGTTGCCAGGGTATGAGACCACCGACCTCCTGGTCCCGGCCGTTCCAGGTATTCAAGTCCGAAGCCAACAGCTGGTCGTGCCGTCAGCCGGGCCCACTTGTGACTCACGCGCCTTCCGTGACTTGGGGTAACATTCAAGCAACCCCAATCCATGGGTTTTTCTATGAGTTGGTGGTCAGATTGCGAGAGATGCATGCGATACATGTTTTAGATAGCGGAATAGTCGAGGTCACGGTGCCATGGGGAAAAAGGGGGTCAGCTCGGGGATCCCCACGGGGATGCCGGTGAGTGAACACAGTTTAGGTAGCCTCGGTTACCCTCCGAGAAGGGACAAGCGAGTCCCGGCTGCGATCATTCGCTTCTGGCGTCTCCGCTGCTTTAGTGCATTTCATTCGCTCAGTGTCATGCAAAGGAAGGTAAGACGGAGAGGACGGGAGTGTCGATGTTGGCCCGTTGTGAGAACGGTTGGCGTGATTTGGCTTGCGGCTCCCTCCACTCACTCTCAACACCCTCAGTTTTGGCGACATGCTTCTGGCACCATCTGCTAGCTCGCTTCTTTATTAAAAGACATTGAGTATTGATCCCAGTCACTGGGTGCCCCGCCAAGGAGTATTGGTGAGGTTCGAGGCAACAAAATCTTCCAGTATTAGCATCCAGTACGCCTGAATAGTATGGTCTCGAAATAGATACGAGCGCGCAAGAATATTGCAGGAAAAGAGGTGTAATACCTGTTCTTTGTCCTTCACCGACTTGCATTGAAACAGATATCTTCGACAAAGTCGCATCGTTTCTGTCGCATCTTCCTTCATAAGGAGTAACTGCTAGTCACCGCCGGGTTGAGGGTTTCCCCACTGCGGGTTTCCCTTCCCGGCCGATGCCCGCAGCACAACACAGTGAGTAGCGGAAAATGTGCAAATGATGTTCCGACTAGCTAGCTAGACCCTAATCTCAATTACAAGACGATCTCGCCGTGTACGTCATTTGCAGAAGCTGAAATGTCTAGAGTTTCATTAGGGTGTGTATATTTTTGCTCGGGCATATTACTAGCGTACCAACCTCACCACTACAACGTCCTAACACTAGTTCTAATGGCACTGGCCCTGCCATTTCGCACTTACTCCTGGCCTATTACAGCATGGAAACTATATGGTTCTACCAAGGTTACACTACACCTATCTCCACCTGCCTGTCCTCGGACTTAAGAAGGAGGGTGATTACAGCTCGACCTGCATGCAATGAACTTAGTCTGTGCACCATGGTAACATCAAGCTCATTCCATCGGAGCTGTCTATAAATCCGGAACTAATGCGGTCTATGCTAGTACATTTCGTGATATAGTTTGCGAGGCCGGCATATGTCCGATATTGGAGCGATCAGCGGCCCAAGCGCCTTACCAGCTGTGACAGGAAGCAACTGGCACCGGAAATTGTCTTAAGCGTATAATTCCACACTACGTTCTCCGGAAACTCCCTTACTGCTACATTGCGACGCTTTTCAACTAATATCAACTGTCTTACTAGATCAGCATTGAGCACAGGACACATATTGGAGAAAAAGTGGGATCATTTTTGGAAGATACAGCATAAGCCAACAAGAGTATACAACTTCCAAGTATATTACAGCTTTTCAATATCTTTCCCTCTAGGCAATCATTATTTCTATATATCACCCACGCGCTAATGTTAGTTCGTGTGTCTGTGCCACGGGGAGAAACAGTGACACAACAAGAAGCTAGGGCTATCCTGCTATCTCCGCAGCAAGGTCCCATGGAAGTCAAATTTTCGAGGTCAAGCAGCTGCCCATGGATTCCGAACGGAAAGCGAACCAGGTATTTGGGAGCTTTCATACACCGATCCCCTAATTGTCTGGACCACATTGATGACACAAACCAGGTTACTGGCAATGGACCGGCGTGGTAACGGGAGTAATTCCGGTTATCAGATGCATCATGTACTTTTGATATCTTCAGAAACCTAGCCAGGCGTATTGCCGGTGTTGTCACAGCTACATGGCCGTCTGAAGGTACGATGGACCGAACGGAGATAATGAACTTCATGTTATATGGTAGTCATTCGCTAGGGAATGACTGTCTGAAGGTAGATGAGAGACCGGTATCTAAAGTACCAATTCCTTCGCAACATCTTATGATAAGTGACATGGAGAGTATAGTATATATTTCATGTGCTGAAGTGCTATATCACAGGAAATATTCAAGGTTCTGACCGCTTGTGGTAAGCTGTCAAAGAATAAGCATCACGCCCTAGCCGTACGCAATTCTCGAAGAAGGCGACAGATAGCCTACAGCCCACATCAAAAACTAGACGTTCACGACATTTTGGATCATGAATGCCCTTGATGCTATTCCGATCGCTATACAACTCCATCTCTATGAAATAGTGGTGTTCTAACTCATCAGCATGACAGTTAAGCTTCCCGTGAGCGCCGACCCGGCACACATGGTCACCCGTATCGACAGGGATGTTGATAGCTAGAATGCCAACTCACAAACACCAGTTCAACTCCAGCAAATGCAAGCCAATTGCATCCAATCTATAAGCGCTCTCAAGTCAACAAAAGCCCCAACAAAGATTGTCGCGACGTTGCAAAATTGCCATCCGCCTTCCCACCATGAGAGAACCTTTGTCTCTGCGAGACAGACACCATAACGGGCAGGACCGAAAAACCTCATTGCAGCTAACATGCCCAAATACGCTGTTTTAGGCTCAACCGGCAACTGCGGCACCGCGCTCCTCGAGATCCTCATCAAGCGACTAGACGCACACATCAACGCATACTGCCGCGACAAAGCTAGACTCTTACGTCTTATGCCCGAAGTCATTGAGAATGAAGACAAGATAACCATATTCGAGGGTAGCATCCACGACGAAAAGCTTCTGGGTGCATGCATGTACGACTGCCACGCCGTCTTTCTTGTCGTCTCCACAAACGACAATATCCCAGGCTGTCGACTGGGACAGGATACGGCCACGACAGTCATTAGCGCCCTGCAAGCCCTAAATCAAGCAGCAAAAAACGTGTTACTCTCGTCTGCTTCATTGGATGAGCAGTTATCGCGCCATGTCCCGGTCCTACTTAAGGAAGTTCTACTTCGCTCCGCCTCGTTCGTGTATGACGACCTGGCTCAAACGGAACGTATCCTGCGCAAGGAAGCGGCGTGGCTGACTACTATCTTCGCCCAGTTCCAGTCTTCCTTGTAAAAGATACCCCATGCCTCGGTGGGATTTACGTGCTCATTCTGCAATTTCCCACATGCCAGTTTTGGAAGTTGTTGAACAATCAAGGTGCTATTTGGGGCAATGTACTGAGGATTGTTGAAGAAGTCCATCATGAGTCGTGGGCCGATAGGCGGGGAAAGCTTCGGAGGAATCGGACGGCAGTCGTATTCCTTTCCTTTAGGGAGGACAGGTTGCTCGGGAGGCACGCAGACACAAGGTCTGCCCGTTTCGCAGATTTCTTCGTGGCATCGAACATCGATGTAGCGGCTTCCGCCATAGGCAAACTGGTGCGTCGTCAGCATATGTGGAGTGTCGGGACATGTCCGTCTTACCTTCATAAAATGGATACTATGCAAAGTCTTCAGAGACCATATGGGTCTTAGTCGTCCTCGGTGCTCATGGTAGATACGGCGTAATGTGTGGAACAATTGCCGATCATCTGCGACGCCTATGATAGACTCTTGGCGAAGCTCTACTGTATATCGGCCATTTTCCAGACATGACAGGAGAAGTGGAGGATGAGAGACCATTTCACCCAGTTCAACATCCGCTTGGCTGTCGCTAGTGGGTATAACATTCGAGCCTTGTAACTGATCCGTGAAATCACTCGAGGGAGGATGTTGCGTCGGTGATGCGCTCGAGATTGAATTATTGGAGGAGGTGGAGCTTGCTGGGACTTGCTGGCTACCACCACTCATATTGGAAGTGGTGATATACGCTGATGACCTCAAGAATGCCTTCATGTCTTCCAAAGCACCTGGGACATGCTCAACATAATCATCATACAGCCATTTACCCGGACCCTATGAGACGTCAATTGCAAAGGACACCGGCTTGTGGTTATAGGTGTTGATTACTCACATTCTTCCATCTGATCCGTGTGTGGCCTCGTCGAGTGTCGCTTTCCCCGAGGCCGATACGAGACAGACTTTTTAGTGTTCCATGGTAGGTCCTGGACAGCAAAGATGTAGTAGGTGATGGGCCTTCAGGTAAGGTTACAGCAGTTATTCTCTGCACTTCAGGAGCATTGTTAAAATATTCCTTCGGCGTTACGGCACTCAGGGAGACTTCATCTTCCAACAAACCCAATTTATTCTGCGTCGCTGTACCCCCACCACGATTCCCTGTCTCATCCGCGGAATATGAGGTAGGCGTTGGAAAATTATCTTTCTGTTTGTTATACCCATCCAAGTGCCGCTTAGTGACAGTATCCTGCAGGTTGTCCAGTCCAGATAGCTCAGGAGATTCAGTCATATAATCAACCAATCCACTTGACAGTTGATGGCCTGACCTCACAAGCGCTTCCGCTTGAACAGTATCAGCGTCTGCATACCGATACGTAGGTTCTCCTTCTAGTGGCCGACACATAGCTAGAAGTCTTTCCGCCAAACGCCTTGCATCATACTCAATAACTGGAAGCTGGCTTTCTGGCAAGACATAATCATAAGCTTGCAGTTGACGGATAAATCTATGCTCTCTCGTCGTTCTCCACTGCCGGAGTGTTTCTAAAGTGTTCCTCAAGCTGTAGGGACTTCTGACCTGTCGAGGCTCGGCAGATACCGTACTTGCGACACTGTCACATCAGCAGATGATTCGGCTAGATTGAAGGTTAAGTTGGTTCAAACCCTATCGGTCTTGTACTCAAGACGGCTTGTCGCGCGGGAGAATAGTAATCTTGACTGCCGTTTTGTATCGATCCTAATGTGTGCGAGATGCCATCGGACGGGTTCGGTCGACGGCTGTAGGGTTAGCTGCACGTTCGGTACTGCGTTCCATGGCCTCATCGGCGGCCATCTGTACCAGAGACTGAAGATAAATACTCCTGACTGCTCGCTCTTCGTTCGATGGGCCTGTGGCAGTCTCTGAAATCCGAGTTTCGGACACGTCGCTCGGATTTGGGGACATCGTCTGGGGTGTCAACCAATTTTATGGTGTCTCAATCTGGAAGGCGCTGTTGGCTAAGTATCAGACCAATCAATCGCGAAATTGAAAGCTAGCACTGTTCAAGGATTGGTGCAAATAAGGAGATTCAATCTCGTAAAACACTTGAGCATAGGAGAAAGTGAAGAAAGAATTGTGGAAATGAGAATGGGGGAGAATTGCAAGAAATAAATGAAGGGGGGCGTTGATTGGGCTGCATCGAGGCGGTGCTTGGACAGCTAGTACTCATTCTCGCCCAATAACCATCCATCTGCTCCCGCGTACAATGTGGCGGAGCGCCCACAGGAAAACTTGAACATTGCATGGGTCAGCCTGGTCGACAGTTCGCAAAATGCATCAAATAATTGGTCAAGGAGGCCGGTCAGTCTATGTCGCTCGATATCCTACAGACTTTTCTGACCCTTCCCGCTCTTCCTATCCGGGATACCGCCATTTAGACCACCCATAAGTAACCAAATGCTTAAATTTAAAGTACGCAAAGTTAGATATGTGGACCTCTACGTGGGAGGCGACGTATGATGGCCCGAATAAGGTGGTTTTTATGATGGTAGGTTACCGGATAGACTCTACATTCATTAAGCTGGTATGGAGATTTCTGAGAATCAGGCGTCTTTTTCAAAGCTTCCCGGTAGTATGCGATGCACTGGCTTTCCTGGTTAGCCCCGATGTATGTTGCTCACTATGCTCCACAGATTTCGCAGCAAAACAACTGCAAGGAAGGTCTTCAGTCTCCATATCAACATCCATTATGTTATCACCCAGTGTTGAGGTAGTAGAGAGCTCAGTGTCATTCGACTGTGTCTGACCCGGAGCCACTAGCTGATTAGAAGGAACGGAGCTGGCCGATGCATTGCCTTGGCCACTGTCCAGATCAGAGGCGGTCATAATTCTGCGTTGTTTTAGGAACTCATACACGCACATGAGGTCGTATAGCGTATACTCTTGCCCTTCGGGAAAATATGGCTTCGAACCCTGCTCCATGTTAGCAACCCCACGCTGACGATCATGCTAACCTTACATTGTCTGATCTGACTAGCATATACTCAAGGGGCAAATCACTCTCAGCTAGTCCTAGACTTGCAAGCATCGCCAGTATCCGCCGGTACATATCGTCTCCTTCTGATTGGTTTTCCATTGTGCTGGATGAGATAATGCTGATGTACGTATGAGTGGGACATGTATTCGCAATCTCGTAGAGAGCACCCTGCATCCTGCATAGTTGACCATGATATATTCATAGTAATACACTCGTTAAGATGACTAAGGGGGGCTTGATGCACATCTCGTTCAGAGGCGTCCTATGTGACTCTGCCCCCGGGCCCCTTTGTTCTATGTTGAGAGTACTATGAACCGGAGGTTTCCGAATATGCAATGATTTGGCTCGGTTTGGCCCCAATGAGGCGCGCCACAACCCTTGAACGACTTGATAGACTAGGAACTTATATCCTGTACGCTGGGATTCTACACACTGAGAGGAGAGGCGCTGGGAGGTTGGATGCCGGTATTTTGCGTGCCGGCAGCTGTGCTACATGACGTGGAATTGATTATACATTTGGCCTCTTCCTCTAGAATTAGAATTCACAGTAAAAGTTGAGTTATTATAACTATTGAACAAATCAGAGCCTAATGCAACCACTTAATAAGCATATTGTAAGCGGTATCATATTGGCCTTGGCTCTTTCCTGAGGCGGTATTTTCGGAAAGCAAGCTTTGAAGACGTTGTTTCCGGATATTGTGTCACACAAACGGCATAATGCCTTGCTCTACCCACACTTACGATGCATCTAATACGCATCATGCGATGTATGATCACCTTTGTACTACTGTGAAACATTCATGCCGTCCCAGGCCTATTAAGCGTCCGATACCCACCAGATGACACATCTACTACCGCTTATACTGCAACCGTTGGTTTCTTCATCCCCGGATCATAACATTCTGGGCAGGTCATGTGCAAAATCAATAGCATTCTCGAGCTACACAGCAAGTTTTCTGGACATAAAATCCCTCAAAACCTATTACCTATCCGTATACCCGACGCAGGACTGCTCAGACCTAGTGCCTCACCCTCACAGACGCATTCCCGGCAGCAGAGCTCCCCATAACACTACCAACAAACACATTGAAGTTGTAATACTTGCTCCGATCGGCCACGTCCAGACCACCCTTCCCACTCAGAATAACCTGTCCATTCCGACTAACCTGGAACGTCTGGGCTCCTATTCCCATCGTCACATTCGTTGTCACAATGCCAGCGGGCACATCAACCTTGACAGGACCGTTCGACCCGCTTGTCACTGTCAATGTCGCAGGGCTATTCAACATCGTCGCCACAAAAATACTATCACTAAGCATCTGGAATCCATTTGGCGCAGGCATACTATCCTCGGGGCAGTTCACCCCCTTTGGCGTGGGCCGATACCAGTACACCAGCCCTTCCTGATTGATGGTGGGCTTGCTATCTCCAGCTTTGTATGCGGCGATGTAAGGCTTATAAAGGTCGCGCCAGGCATCGTGTGGCATGCCCTTGGCCCATTTCGAAGAGCCATCGTCGCTGTGGTTGGCGCTGTAGGGACCGATATAGTGGGATTCGCCGTAGTCTGGGATAGATGTTATTCTACTAGTTATTATCGTAACAGAGTGGTCCATCTCCTTACCGTTCCACGAGATTATTTCGACAAGACTTGGCTTCATGGTTAGCATCTGCTCCCAACGCAGGGTGGGCAGGTTCTCGCATATGAACACCCAGTTCTTGCTGTTGAAGTGCGTAGCAAACCATGGTGAAACCGCTAGCAGACCTTAGCATGGCACAGTGTATTTTGTTGAGGAGCAACTCACGCGCCATATATGTTGTGCCCGCGAGATCTTTGATAAATCGGTCATCCCAGATTGTTGTCATTGGCCCTTTGATGATGCTGTTGCCCCCGTCTGTTGGCCAGGCGTACCATGAAAAAGCTCCATCGGCGCCCCGTTGGGCATTGCTGGAAGAAGCAGCAGGATCCTGGAGGTTAGGCACGGCATGGAGAGGATGAGAGGTAGCTTGCTTGACAGGGCTCCAGTTGAAGCTGTCCCCGACGAAGGTGCTCACGACTGCCCCGCCGCGGTATTGCATCTGCGCTGGGTGGCTCGCGTATTGTTGCATGTAAGCAGTGATCTTGGCCGTGTCGCCGTTGCTCCAGTAGGCGAAGTCAAACGAGATGAATACTTTGAAATTGACTTGTTGGGCAGCTTGGTATGCGAGGGCGAGCTGCGTCGGGGTGTACTTGTCAATGCTGGCGCAATTGAGTGCGAATGCATCGATCCCGATGGCTTGTGCGGCTTTCATGTCGGTGATCCAGTCTTTCAGTTGATAGTTCTCGACGATGCCGACCTATCATGGTTAGCATTGGTATCCCGAAAGCTCAGTATGGTGACTGTCCACGGACCATGAAATGGGCGAAGACATATTTGGGCTCAGACTGGGGCTCGGTGAGTCCGACATCGAGAGCCGGGGCTCCCAAGACCGGATTAAGAATGCTCGCCGCAATGGCAGCAAGAACGACAAGAGACTTCGCCAGCATCATTGGTGAGAATTAGCATATAAATCCCTATCGATACGGTGTAAATGTAGCATCTCAACAGATCCGAGATAGTGCCTGTGACGCCGATTTTATAGGCCGGATTTCCTCACAAATCACCCAGCGCCTGTTACCATTCACCAATCTCTAGGCATCCTACCCCGTGCCTGAAGATTCATACCCCAGACGGAGAATAAATCCCATTGTAGGCTTCTTCGGAGTGCAACTCTGCAACAGTAACTTCCCGCTCGGAAAATAATTAAGGTTGTGTTATGCATCGAGCGTTGTGTTACCTGCAGTGGCAAGTAACTGCCCGAAGCCTTTGTGTAATTTCTCCTCTGGGGTTAGTATAGGTAGTACACCGGATGCATCCATCCTAATCCAGGTTGCACTCGGGACTTTACGTCCACTTGGGGTTGCTTGAATGGCTCCTGACCTGATCACATTCATAGGTTTCAACGGTTATTGCCGATGGGGTTGGTCAACTTCTACAATGTGTTGGGATATGATGGGGAGGGCCATTGGGGAAGAAGGTGACATATTGTAGACCGAGGAGGAGCCGTCACTGTCCAGATACTATCCCGGGCAGTATTAAGTAGGTCCCGTAGTCGAATCATTAGCCCTGCTACAGTGAATGTTGATACATAGTGGCCTAAGGAGCTTTCGACATACATCCGCCCTGGGTGTCAGTAGTCTCCTCTTTGATCCGATATCCCGAAGGTTAGCTGCTTCGATCGAGTGAAAATTTGATAGCAATAACCTAGTAAGTATAATCTTGGTAAAAAGTCGAGAGTGACAATGAAGCACCAAAAATTATAGGATGTTGCGTTACATTGACCTGGATCATTGTGGAGCCGAACTATTGAGTGTTCGGGCCTCAACAATTCTAGTCTAGCTGTGATGTGTTTATTATTGTAAATGTATCTAGTTAAAAAGTTGTAGTATACAGAAAAGAAAAGAGCGTTGTCTGACAATAGAGCAATGTATACTCGTACTGTGTAGCAATACAGGAAATAGTGCGTGGAATTCAGCGAATGGGCGGATGGGTAATATGAGTGGTAGAATCTGATCACGTGATCGGGCAATCACATTCCCCAATTCGAAAATAGGTCTTGCCAAGTACAGTAGTCTAGATGCCTGATGAGGAAGGCCTGCCTGCGGCCGGAACAAGGTCGGCCCGCAGTCCGAGCTCCTTCCTGGAAACTCCCAGCCTCCCCTCTTGGCACCTTCCCTCCCTGGTCTCTCTGGCCATCTCATATCTCACGTTCTCCTCCCACCACCATCAACACCATCAACACCAACATCGCCATCATCGCCATCATCGCCAGCATCGCCATCCTTCCCATCGGTCCCATTATCACCATATTTCTGTAGTAAAGGAAGTACGTGTTTCTTGCTGTCCTCGCCGCCAGTCCTGCCATTCCTGTGTTTTCATAGGACTTTCCGATCTCACTCTGTGACTTCAGATTGGGCATGTGCTCGTGACCAGGCCGCAAGAGCACGTACCAGTTTACTACTATCGTTGCCTCCATCATCTTTCATCCTCATTTTTGCGAGTCAGGGCTGCTCACCGTCGCTCCAAAGCCCGGGTGGGAGGGTAACTCGATTTATCGAGGGTATATCGAACAGCTAATTTTGTAGCACAATGACTACGACTTCGCAAAACCCGACCGGGGTCTTGAAGAAGGCAGTTCTTGTTCATGCGCCCGATCTCGATGTTTCCTGCCGTGCCCGCCTTCGTATTATTCATGATCAAGCTGCTAACCAAGGATGCATCTTTCTTTCGATCACTGCAGATCTGGCTAACCTGAGCGGCAAATCACAGGTACTGACTTTGAATATCCCTCCAGAAAGTGTCGAACAATGTGCTCTAGCTCGACAAAGCAATAGTGAACTCTGTTCCTCTCACTTCGTTTCCATGCTCCCGGCGCCTGTTACCAATGTTTCGGCTGTCTCTACACTGAGTCTGAGCCTGTGTGCGACCGGCATTGTTCTTTGTCCATCTGAACTGGATTATATCAGCCCAGCAAGACCAGGCGATCTTGATATCCATTCATTCGCGAATATCTGTCAATCCAAATTCCTCTACCTACACTTCTCCAGACGACAATTTGTGAATAAAGAACTTGATAAGCTGGAAATCTTCTCCCGTGCTCTACGCACAAAGAGTCTTAAAAGAGTGTCTTTTGACCACTCTCGCCATGGCATGGTCCAGAAAGATTGGCATGTCTTCAATTTATCGCCCAATCCACCCCCATATCGTCAAGAGCTCCTGTCCGAGCAGCTGGAGCAGGTTGATCCACCCCTATACTGTGAGGAGTCCGTGTCAGAGCAGGTAGTTAGAAAACGGCAGAGAGGTAATTTCTCATCCCACCATCTTAGGTGCTCTGTCGTTCAGTAGTTTAATCATAGTATCTAGACCCATGGTCAGTGTCATCTCATGACGAAAGCCGAAAGAGAGTACTCCTTCAAGCCCCTCCACCGATAGGCTCTCCCACCGAAGTAAATACGCCGAGTACTCGCTCCCCTTCACCATCCTGCATTCGCCCAACCATCTTTCAGCGTGCTTCCTCTCCTG